GGCAGGCCCGCCGCTGCGTGAGGCCTGGTCCCAGCCTGGTGAGAGGCTGCAGAGAGTGAGCGGCCGTTCATTCCCACCCAGGCCTGAGAAGGTGGAGGCCGCCCACGCCCTGCTACGTGATTGTTCCCAAACAGGAGCGCTTACCTACCCCACATACGCGTGAAGCTGAGCCAGCACCGTCTTCCCCGGGGGCACTGATGGGGTGTATAAAAGTGATCCCCCCAATAAGAAAAGAAGTCATCTCTCTACCTTGGGGCGGGTCTCACTCATTTCAGCGTCTGCTCCAAAGAAAGCCGACCTGGCTGTGGACGAGAGCAAAGCTAAAAGCTTCCTGGGCAGCCTGAAGCGCCAGCGACGGCAGCTGTGGGACCGGACCCGGCCGGAGGTCCAGCAGTGGTACCAGCAGTTCCTCTACATGGGCTTCGACGAGGCGGTGGGTATCCGCTCCTGCGGGCCTGGCTTCCTGCAGGGCAGGGGTGGGGGTAAAACCCCACCCTCCCCACCCGCCCGCCAAGACCATCCAGGCATCGGTTACGGGTTACGTGACCATGGCTATGAGGACAGCAGCTGGAATTTTCCATCACTGTGGGTCCAAGTGGGAAGCCAAATTCCAGAGAAGACACCGCCCAACCTGGCTGGAACTTAGGTTCAGCAAGAGTAGGATTTTCCTGGGGCAGTTTTAACGGCTTTGCTGGGTGTCCTTAAAATAGCTCACAACCTCCCCAAAACATGTTCAGCTTTACCTCAAAAAATGTCAGAGACGCCCAGATCAATGGGGAGACCCATGAGGACAATGGAAGGGGATGCAACTTTCCTTTAAAGAGAGAGGGGTCTGCAAATGTTTTGGGGAGAATCTGTCAGTGCATTAGCAGGAAAAGATGGTTCAGTTCACGTGCCCAGGTAGGGAGAGTGGACACATTCCCCAAGTTACAGAGAAACACGTTCATAATCAAGCACTCCCAGCTGGAGCCAGGGCCAGGTAAGACCGCGGGTGGAGGTGGGGGACTGCCGCGCAGAGCTCTGCAGTGGCGGCCAGGGCTGTGCTGGGCTAGTGCAGAGAGCTCTCAGCCCGCCACCCCGGCCAGGGAGCACTCAGCCCGCCACCCAGGCCAGGGAGCACTCAGCCCACCACCCCGGCCAGGGAGCACTCAGCCCACCACCCAAGCCAGGGAGCACTCAGCCCGCCACCCAAGCCAGGGAGCACTCAGCCCACCACCCAGGCCAGGGAGCACTCAGCCCACCACCCAGGCCAGGGAAAACTCAGCCCGCCACCCTGGCCAGAGAGCGGAGGGAGGGCAACATCTCCAACAGGGCAGATGGAAGTGTTTTTCCAAACGGACTCAGGATTCATATTGTGAATCAAGGGTGTATACAAAATACTGCAATAGGTGAAAACAAATTAAACTCTTTAGAGACATCAGTTTTTAAATTAAATTTATTAGGAAACAAAACTAAAATAAACAAATGGGACTACATCAAACTAAAATGCTTCTGCACAGCAAAAGAAACCATCAACAAAATAAAAGGCAACCAACTTGATGGTAGAATATATTTGCTAACAATAACTCTGATATGTGGCTAATATCCAAAATGTATAGAGAACTCATATAATCCAAGAACAATAAAACAAACAATCCGACTGTAAAATCAGCCTGGGACCTAAAGAGACCATTTTTAATGGCTGCATAAAATGCAAGCCTGTAGCCATACCATAGTTTCTTTCTCATTCCCAACCATTGGACATATCAGTTGTTCCCCAATTATCTTTTTGATACACAAATATAATTTTTTGTTGTGCAAATAGCTAAACACTTATAGCTAAACTCTGTTCCAGGACGGCCAGAGAGCACTCAGCCCATCACCCAGGCCAGGGAGCACTCAGCCAACCACCCAGGCCAGGGAGCACTCAGCCCACCACCCCGGCCAGGGAGCGGAGGGAGGGCAGCATCTCCAACAGGGCAGATGGAAGTGTTTTTCCAAACGGACTCAGGATTCATATTGTGAGTCAAGGGTGTATACAAAATACTGCAATAGGTGAAAACAAATTAAACACTTTAGAGACATCAGTTTTTAAATTAAATTTATTAGGAAACAAAACTAAAATAAACAAATGGGACTACATCAAACTAAAATGCTTCTGCACAGCAAAAGAAACCATCAACAAAATAAAAGGCAACCAACTTGATGGTAGAATATATTTGCTAACAATAACTCTGATATGTGGCTAATATCCAAAATGTATAGAGAACTCATATAATCCAAGAACAATAAAACAAACAATCCGACTGTAAAATCAGCCTGGGACCTAAAGAGACCATTTTTAATGGCTGCATAAAATGCAAGCCTGGAGCCATACCATAATTTCTTTCTCATTCCCAACCATTGGGCATATCAGTTGTTCCCCAATTATCTTTTGGATACGCAAATATAATTTTTTGTTGTGCAAATAGCTAAACACTTATAGCTAAACTCTGTGCCAGGAATTAGTCTGGTTCTTGTGTGAATTAACTACTTAACATTCACAACAACCTAAAAAGCCGGTGCTATTATTGGCAGCTTAGTGTGTAGTTTGTTTCTCACTTAGTATTGCAGTCTGTGCAGGGCAGTTACTGGGCAAAGACAGAATTACATTCAAAGGTCGTTAAGGACTGCCAAACGGCATATTCCTGTAAGTCATGTACGAGGGGACCAATTTTCTCACATCTGCAGCGGCATCTGTTAGTCTCACTGAAAACTTCAAATTTTTTACTTATTTGATAGATGAAAATGCTATATCATCTTCCAGCACTTGGCATTTCTTTGATGACCAGTATTTGCAGTTCATAAAAATGGGTATTAAGAGTTCAACATGGGGGAATGGCTAAAATAATGTCTGATGACAAAATCACAATAAAGGAGGATCCTATAAGATTCTAATAACAAGACTAGAGGCACAGCAATGCTCCAACACGGACTCATTCTTAGCGCGGTGGTAACCATTGAAAAGAAACCACCACAGAGAAAGCCCGGGGTGAGATGTGGCCAGGGTTGTGTGTCCTTAAACCCGATCTCCATCATGTTCTTTCTTCTTTGCCAGAAATTTGAAGATGATGTCACCTATTGGCTAAACAGAAACCGGAACGGACATGACTACTATGACTACCACCACCGTCACTACGATGAAGATGCCGCCATTGGTCCCCGGAGCCCCGACAGCTTTCGGCACGGAGCCAGCGTCAATTACGACGACTACTAATCATGGTCCCGCCTGTCTGGTGCCAGGAGGGTCCCTCTCCTCTTCCTAACCTGGCACAGGCGGCCTCTGCTGTGCTTTGTTTGAGTTGCTCTTTTCTGCCCACTTTCTGTGACCAGAAAGGAAGAGTTCAAACAAGGAATATACATGCCTTTTTATATAGCTTATGCAAGTGCCTAAACGTGCATTTCTATAAAAACAGCAATAAAAGCATTTTGTTTCTTAAAAAGAAAAGTCTCAGAATGCATTTGGATGACAGTTAAGCTGGCCGCAGTTTCACCACCGGATGTTTGCAAAGTTGAGCGTCATCTGAGAGGCTCCTCTCTGTTCTCCCAGTGGAACCTTCCAAGGACTGACCGCCCCCAGGCACCCTGGGACTCAGCAGGGGTCTTCCTTTTGTTAAAAGTCAGGCCACATGGAGTGCAGGATATAAATCCAGCAAGAAAGTTTAGTTGAGCATTATTTCAGGTTACAGGACTGGGCGTTCTGGGTTCCAGTCCCCGATCCAGAGCTGCACCTGTTCAATGTCACCGTCCATGAAATGAAGAGTAAGAGGGAAAGCCCTGAAGTCTGGTGGATTTCAGAGCCTCCCTATCTTTAAAAAATTAAACCCTGCCCAATGACTTCAAGGAAGATTTAAGAGTATACTTCGCACTGAGAAGAAGTGGTGTCAGGGAGGGGAGAAGGGATGAGGAAGGTGGGAAGGAGACGGGAGGCCTGTGAAGGCCTCGGGGCATTACTGGGAGGAGGCATCTGGTCACAGCCTCTGGGTCTGCAGAGCTGTGGTGTGGGGGTGGGGCATGGATGAGAGGGTCCACTCAGAATGGCTCTTATACTTCTGTGGGTTGCAGATCCCGCTGACCGTCTAATGCAGCGATTTTCAGCCTTTTTCATCTCATGGCACCCCTAAACTAATTATTAAAATTCTGCTGCACACCAAAAAATATTTTTTGTTGCTCTGATAAAAAAAAAAAAGTATAATTTTTATTCATTCACGCCAAAAGGCTATTGTTGTGTTGGCTGATGGCTGTTGTCACTTTTTTTTTTTTTTTACAATCTAAGGAAAAAGAGGTCAAGGCCCCTAACTAAATAGTCAGGTATTGCATGTTTTAAAAAGTCTTGTGGCACACCTTTTGAAAATCTGAAACTAGCTGTCCCAATGGAAGCTTGTTTGTTCTTCCTCAGAAAAATGATACGTAATTTTGCATAGGGTCTCTGAAACACATCCCCGTAGGGAATCATGGGTAACAAAACCCCTGGGCTAGTAGGAAGCCCTGGCTCAGGAGAGCAGTGTTTATGGACAATAAAAACAACTGCACATCGGTAATTTCATTTCTTCCTTTGGAGTCCTTACAACTTTTAAAAATTAATGGCAGGATACACATAATATAAAATCTGCCATTTTAACCATTTTCAGGGGACAGTTCAGCAGCACTTAGAGTCACAGTTTGTGCACCATCACCACCATCCATTTCCAGAAATTTCCATCTTCCCAAACTGAAACTGTCCCATTAAATACTACTCCCCTCCCTGCTCCCCTCGCCCCTGGAACCTGCCATTCTACTTTCCGTCTTTATGAATTTGACTATTCTAGGTGCCTCATATAAGTGGACTCTGTAGGGATGTAAAAAAGGCCTTTCTTTTTCTTTGCTGTGGCCTTTCACAATTTATGAGAAGCACCTGGTAATTAAACCCCAAGATTGTTAGCTCCTCTGGTTCAAACAGGTTCTCTGTTCATATTGCAAAACAAGATAAGCTACTCTCAAGGCTACATTCTTGCATATCCTCCTCCCTGCTGTTTTTAGAACTCAGGAATAGTTAATACAATGTTCCCTTCCTCCCACCCCCTTCAAATAGGCCTCTTTTGAACTCTTCATAACTTTTGCTCTAAGCATGTTTTACAGGCTTGGGGGAAAATAATGACAAGACACCTCCCTAGGACATCTGCCCAGACTGTCTCCTGAAGAAGTAACAAACTACAATCCCCCTGATGGCTGCTCAATTTCAGACCCCACATCCCCCTCCCTTCCTTGTCACCTAGGAACAGCAGCCACAGATTTAAAAGGGGGAGCTGCTTTTGTTCTTTGCCCTTGTATTGATTATCAATGCCCTGGCCCTTTCCCTTCAGGGAAAGTAAAATAAACTTTCTCTCTGCATCCATCTCTTCTTTTAGTTGTGAATTCTTTCACTTCTTGCATTACTGGCCAAAACCGTAACAGAATCATACAGTGTTTGTCCTTTTGTGACTGGTTTATTTCACCTGGCATAATGTCCTCAAGGTTCATTCATGTTGTATCAGGTGACAGGATTTCCTTCCTTTTTAGGGCTGAATAATGTTCAATTGCTGTATGGGCCACATTTTGTTTATCCATCCATCTGTTGATGGACACTTGGATTGCTTTCACCTTTTAGCTCTTGTGAATAAAGCTGCTATGAAAGTGATGTGACACTATCTCTGTGTGTTCTTGCTTTCAATCTTTTGGGTATATGCTCAGAAGAGGAATTATTGTTCATAAGGTAATTGTTTAATTTTTTTGAGGAACCTCTACACATGTTTTCCACAGCGGCTGCACTTTTTTATATTCTCATCCTTAAAACCTCTGCTTCTTCTTTTTGGCCACTACTAGGCTGGCTCAAACCTCCAGGCAATGTTAAAAAGGAGGGAGAAGGGACGATAGAGAGGATATCTCTGCTTCATTCCTAATCTTAAAGGGAGTGCTTCCCATGGCTCACTATAAACTGTGTTTGCTGGATATTTTTGTAGATGTCTCTACAAAAGTTCAATTAAGGAAATTTCTATTCTTTTAAAACTATGCTAATAAATTTTTAATGTCATATATGAATGTTGAATTTTATATTCTTTATCTTTACAATAATATAACTTTTCCTTTTAATCTGTAATTAATATGGTAAATTCTATTAATATAATTCTAATATTAATCTACTGAATGCCTGGAATACACCTAACTTGATCATAATTTTTCCATTCATTGTTGGTTCTGGTTGGGTAGTATTCATTCAGAATTTCTGCATCCATGTTAATGAGTGGGGTTTTTTTCCATTCTCTGTGTAAGAATGGAATCATCTGTTTTCCAAATGATTAGCAGCATTCAGATAAAGCCATTTGAGTGTGGTGCTTTCTTCATGACAAACGGTCTAACTATTTATTGCATTTCTTTTACAGTTAAAGGATTGCTTTAACTTTGTCTTTCTCCTTGATCTGTTTTTGAAAAGTTCTATCTTTCTACATCATCATCCATTTTTCAATGTTTTGAAGTGTGAGAATTGTTCTTAATATCCTCTTATATGTTTTTCTCTGTAGCATCTGTGGTAAAGTTCTCTCTTTTTTATTCCATTTTATTTATTTTTTTAAAAATGAATTTTATCTTTTCCATCATGCAGTTTTTGCTTTGCTGATGTCTTCTTTATGTGTTTCTCTATTTCCTGAATTTCTGTTCTTTTAATTTCCTTGCCTCTGCATCTATGGGTCTTTAATATTAGCTCTTAGTTCCATTTTGAGCCTTAGAGTATTTAATACTCTAAGTACCCTTCCAAGTATCGTATCCCAAAAGTTGGATGTGATAAAAGATTCTAATTTCAATTATAATTTCTCCTTTGACCCATGAGTTGATTATAAGTATTATTAAATTTCAAGTGAATTGAATTTTTAAAATTATCTTATTGGCTTTGTTTTCTAGCTTAATTGCATTTTAGTTAAAGACAATGTGGTCAGTCAGATCCAAATCCTTTGAGTGTACACCGAGGTCGGCCAGCTTCCTGTCCATGTGGGTGTTGCCTTGGTCAGTGTTCCATGTGCACTTGAAAGAAATATGTCGTTTCCAAACATCAGATGTAGTCAAGTCCATCAGCTCAAGTTCCATAGTTACACTTCTCTCATTTTCTATTTTCTTTCTTTTGAGGGATCCGTTTGATCTGATTAGCGTGTGATCTATTGGTAAGTGTTAAAAGCTGGTGGATTTCACAAATTTTTCCTTTAATCCTGTCAGCCTGGCTTTATATGCTATAGGCAAATTCAGTAGATACACATAAATTTAGAATCGATATGTCTTCCCAATGAATAGAATCATTTATCATTATGCAACAAATTTTCTTATTTCTATAATGCTTTTTGCCTGAATTCTCCTGACATGCCTTCTTTTGGTTACTACTTGCCTGGTCTATCTTTTCCATAATTTGGCTTTTATCTTTCTGTGTGTTTGTTTCTTCAATTACAGTGAACAGCATTATTATATTAGTTTCAGGTGTACCACCCAGTGATTAAACATTACATAACTTAGTAAATGATCATCCTGATAAATCTCGCACTCATCTACACCATACATAGTTATTACAACATTATTGATTATATTCCCTAAGCTGTAGTTTACATTATATTCCCATAACTATTATGTAACAATGTATTGGTACTTCTTAATCCCTCACCTTTTTCACCCATCCCCAACCCCCCTCCTATCTGGCAACAGTCAAAATGTTCTCTATCTATGAATCTGTTTCTGCCCTGCTTGTTCATTTTGTTTTTTTAGATTCAACTAGAGAGAACTAATTTAGAGAGAGCTTTCTTTTGTGCTCTTAAGATTCTCTCTTTGTCTTTAACATTTTTGATATGTATTTATTGCCATTTTGTTGTTCATATATTTTCTTTTCTTTTTTTCTTCTTAACATTTCATATAATAATGGTTTGGTGGTGATGAACTCCTTTAGCTTTTTCTTCTGAGAATCTCTTTATATGTCCTTTGATTATAAATGATAGCTTTGCTGGATAGAGTAATCTTGGTTGTAGGTCCTTGCTTTTCATCACTTTGAATATTTCTTGCCACTCTCTTCCAGCCTGCAAAGTTTCTGTTGAGAAATCAGCTGACAGTCTTATGAGAGCTTCCTTTAGGTAACTAACTGCTTTTCTTTTGTGCTTTTAAGATTCTCTCTCTTCTTTAACGTTTTGGGTTTTACTTATGATGGGTCTTGGTGAGGGACTCTTCGGGCTCATCTTGTTTGGGACTCTCTGCACTTCTGGACTTGTATGTCTATTTCCTTCACCAGGTTAAAGAAATTTTCTTACATTATTTTTTCAAGTAGGTTTTCAATTTCTTGCTCTCTCTCTTCTTCCTCCCATACCCCCATGACATGAATGTTGGTAAGCTTGAAGTTGTCCCAGATGCTCCTTGCACTATCCTCATTTTTTTAATTCTTTTTTTTCTTTCTGCTGTTATGATTGGGTGTTTTTGGCTTCCTTATCTTTCCAATCTCTGATTTGATCCTCTGCTTCATCTACTCCACTGTTGATTCCCTATAATGTATTCTTCATTTCAGTTAGGATATTCTTCATTTCTGACTGGTTCTTTTTTACGTTTTCTAGTTCTGTTTTTATGTTTCCTATCTCTCTGTTGAAATTCTCTCTAAACTCATCTACTCATCTCCTAAGTTCATTGAGCATCCTTATAACCAGTGTTTTAAACTCTATATCTAGTTGATTGCTTGTCTCCATTTTGTTTAATTGTTTTTCTGGAGTTTTGTTCTGTTCTTTCATTTGGACATGTTTCATTGTCTCCTCATTTTGGCAGTGTTTCTGTGTTTGTTTCTATGAATTAGGTACAGCTGCTATGTCTCCTGGACTTGGTAGAGTGTCTCTATGTAGTAGATGTCTGTAGGGTCCAGTGGCACAGCCTCCCCTATCACCCAAGTTGGGCACTCAAGGTGCACCACCTCATGTGAGCTGCGTCCACCCTCCTGTTATAGTTGAACCTTGATGGTTGTTGGCACGTCAATGGGAAGGATTTACCCCCCAGGCCAATCATCTGCAAGGACTGGCTGTTACCACCATGGAGGATCAGCTGTGCAGGGGCCCACAGAGCAGGACTTACTGCAGTGTGGCTCTAGTCCAGGGGTGGGCAAACTTTTTGACTCGAGGGCCACAATGGGTTCTTAAACTGGACCGGAGGGCCGGAACAAAAGCATGGATGGAGTGTCTGTGTGAACTAATATAAATTCAAAGTAAACATCATTACATATAAGGGTACGGTCTTTTTTTTTTTTAGTTTTATTCATTTCAAACGGGCCGGATCTGGCCCGCGGGCCGTAGTTTGCCCATGGCTGTCCTAGCCCCTGCTGAGTCTGCCCCTTGAGTGTATCACTGGTGGAGGTGGTTGACTTGTAGTGCTTTAACAGTCTGAAACTGTCCACTTGGTACGTTGGCTCTAAGACCTTTCAGTAGGGACAGGCCAAGGTCCTCCACCACCTGTGTTCTGCCTGGGGCCACCCAGCATGAACTACAAAGCAATGTACAGATGCCTGCTACTGGTGCTGGACTTGGAGGTGCTCAGGTGAGGCCAAACTGTGAACCAAGACTGGCTGCTGCTAATGCTGGGCCCGAGGCCACTTAACAAGAGGTATAGGGCATACTGAGGCCAGGTGCTTCTTGTTTGAGAAATTTTAGGAAAATATGAAGCATGAAACAAGAGAGGCCATTCATATGGAAAAGCCAATGGAAACAGCTTGGGTGGTTCCACAAGTTGAGTGGAGCAGGGTCTCAGGGACTCCCCAGGATGGGGTGAGCAGTGTGAGCCGGGTTTATGGGAACTCAGGTCAGGCTCTGAGGGCTGAAGGCTCCTCAAAGGCAAAATAGCCTCTGCCAGCACTTCTGTCTGGGAGAAAGCTGCTCATCCCCATCTTGCCCTGATGCTAGAGAATTCAGTTCCTCTGCCTATGTCCCTGGTTCCTTCCAAGCTGCTGCCCCAGTGCTGAAGCTCTGAGGGAGTGAGTCCTAGTAAGTTCATGTGCCAGCCCTTTAAGAGGAACTACCTGGGACTCCAGCAGTCTCCATCTCACTCAGCATCTACCCCTGCTGGTTTTTACAGCCAGAAATTAAGGGGACTTCTCTTCCTGGCATTGAAACCCTGGACTGGGGATCCTGGTGTGGGGCTGGGATCTCTTGCTCCTCAGAGGGTACCTCTGCAGCCAAGATATCCCTTCCAATTTTTATCTGCCACACATGGGTATGGGACTAGCCCATTCCACATATCTGCCCCTACTACCTGTCTCAATGTGGCCTCTTCTCTAATTCCCTAGTTGTAGGACTTCTGTTCAGCTAGATTTTAGGTGGTTCTGAATGATGGTTGTTCTGTAGGTTAGTTGTTATTTTGATATAGTTGTGGGAAGAGGAGAGTACCATGTTTACCTATGTGCCATCTTGACCCAACTCTTCTCTGTGTTCTTTAGGTGTGTCTTTTGTAGAATACACAGCTAAAATTTGTTGTGCTTGTTTTCAAAATATAGTATGACTGCTCTGGCCAGTTGGCTCAGTTGGTTGGAGCATCACCCTGTACACCAAAAGGTTGTGGGTTTGATTCTCAGTCAGGGCACATAGTTAAATTGAGGGTTCCATCCCTAGTTGGGAGCACATACAGGAGGCAACTGATTGATGTTTCTCTCACATATATGTTTCTCTCTCTCTCTCTCTCTCTCTCTCTCTCTCTCTCTCTCTTCCTTTATCTCTAAAATCAATAAAAACATATCATCAGCTCATTAGCATTCCGTCATAGTGGCCAGCAGGACCGGAGTGAGGGAGACAATGTGAATGAGTGGAGGGTGAGTGTACGGACATGCATGTGTGGTGGGGGAGGGGTGTTGGGGGCTACAATCTGATCACACAAGGGAGTCTTTTTTTCTTTTTCACAAGGGAGTCTTGAGGGTAGGCAGTTTAGTCTCTCCTGGCCAAAGAACCACTGCTATCTCCATAGCCACTCCCCGGGTGCAGCTCTAGCTTGGAGACCACGCCATCTTGAAGGGTTTACAAGGTCCTCCTTGGGAGGAGGCTGTGGGGAGCGGCACCAGCTAGGCACCCAGCCTCTCTGCCACCTGACTCGCTGCAGCCAGGACCCAAACCCAAGCACAAAACCAGTATTACAGGAAATTGTGAAGGGTATTCTTTTGCTGGGGTCCAACCCCAGCAGGTCCAGGGGTCCCCAAAGGTGTGGACGGAGTCGGCGAAGAAGGAATGACACGGAGACAGCCTTCAGTTGATCAGCAGCCTAGCCAGGATCTCCAGCCAAGTTCTGGTCAGGATCTCCAG